TTTTCCAAAATGCATATTCTTTTTTTTGAGACAGAGTCTTACTATATCACTCTTGGTAGAGTGCCGTGGCATCACAGCTGATAGCAACCTTAAACTCTTGGGCTCAAGCAATTCTCTTACCTAAGCTTCCCACATAGCTGGGACTATAGGCACCCACCACAACACCTGGCTATTTTCTTTTTTTTTTTTTTTCTCAGTAGGCCTGGGCCGAGTTCAAACCCACCAGCCCAGGTGCCTGAGGCCAGCGCCCTAACCACTGAGGTATGGGTGCCGAGCCCAAAATACATATTCTTTTAACTGCTTCTGATTACTTGTCAGGTCTAGAAACAGATCTAAGAAATTCTTCCTGATGTGCCCCTGCAAATAACTCATCATCACCAACAACATCCCTCCTCTCCCCTCTAAACTCAATGTGCAAGATGCAAGTGAAAAATTCCTCCTAGCTTTTCTGTTTCTTTCCTATTTACTGGCTACACCTGGGCTGGGCAACAAGGCCACATACCCAGGTACATACACAGAGCGCAGCAGCAGTCAAGGAGGCTACGTGCTGGCTCTCAGGGACGGATTTCCCTCACCAGCTGCTGGCCTTTCTGCTTTCTTGCCCCACTTACTAAACCAAGTTTGGCCTAAGGTGGACCATGGCTTGGACGTTACATTTTTCTGGTTAGCTTGGAATGCCTGGAAGGAGACATTTCCAGCTGTAATGGGGAGAGATGCTAAGTGACTGACGAAGCCCAGGGCCAGAGAGATGAAAGACATAGGAGAGACCTGAGGTCCACACAGACCTAGAAATTGGACGACCTTGAGTTATACTTTCTCCTCGGTGGTATCCTTCCAAAGCTTCAGCCATCCGCCCTCCAAGAAGCACATAGTGGACACCTCTTTCAGCAATTCACATTTCCAGATCTGCTGAGACTCTCCACATAAATGACTGGTGAGCACCTCTAATTCACACAGCTAAAGCCAAGACCATACGTTCTTTTTTTTTTTTTTTGGTCAGGGCTGGGTTTGAACCCACCATTTCCAGTATATGGGGCTGGTGCCCTACTCCTTTGAGACACAGGCGCTGCCCACGCCATACGTTCTTCCCAGATCTACCCCTCTCTCCTGGAACGTCTATCCTAGTGAAAGGGAATAGAATCACCTCCCATCCGTGCCTCACTCTCGGGGTTCTGCTTACTCAGGTCTCATATCCAGCTCATCAGCAAGGCCTATTGATTCCATCTCTGAAACTCAGTGGGATCTGCCTACTTCCTCCAGCCTGTTACCCCAGTCCTGACTGCCATCATCATTCCTGGCTATCTCAACCATCCCCTGATCAAGCAACCAGGTACCAACTGGCTTCCCTACTCCTGTGGCTGCTGCTGCTGCTGCTTTTTTTTTTTTTGAGACGGAGTCTCATAATGTCTCCCTTGGTAGAGTGCCATGGTATAACAGCTCACATCAACTTCCAACTATGGGGCTTAATTTTTTTGTTGTTGCAATTGTCATTGTTGTTTTAGCAGGCCAGGCCAGGTTCGAACCCACCAGCCTGGGTATATGTGGCCAGCACCCTACCCACTAAGCTACGGGTGCCGCCTCTTCTTTTTTTAAATTAGCAAGCCCAGCTGTCATCCTGCATCTTCCCATAGCACCCAAAAAGAACTTTCTACAATGCAAATATGATTACATTTCTCCCTAGCTTAGAAGTCATCAATGGCTCTTTACTGTCCTCTGGATAACACCCAAACTTAATATGGAGTATAAATCCCTTTTTGGTCTTACTGCTTAATAATTTTACCCCTCATATACTTTGATCCAAATCTACTCAATTCTTACACTTCCTTTAAAAGTACCAAGCCCCCTTACCTCTACATTTTTGTGCACACTGTTTACTTCCCCTTCCTATCCCTTATCTACCCAACCTTCCCCTGGCTCAAGTAATTCCTGCTTATTTCTCAAAGCATGGGTCAAATGTCAGTTATTCTGGGGAGCTTCCCTTGCTTCCTAAAATCTTTTGTGTCCTTTGTGTTCTTTCAGTTCCCAATAATGTCACAATATCTTTCACAGGTGTTTCTAAATTTCTAAAGCCTATTTAACTGTCTGCCTTCCTCTTGATGACAGAGGGATCATATCCATATTCTTTTTTTTTTTTTTTT